TGCCCGTATGATGGGACCCAGTGATGTCGTGTATATGGAGTAGAGGAGCGGTCTAAGAACTGATCCCTGAGGAACCGGGATCCAGCTCTGCTGTAGAGCTGGAGTGGCAGGGAAGACAAGAAGCTCAGTCTTTGCCAGCTTGAGCTGTAGGTGATGTTCTTTCATCCACGCCGAGATATCCGAAATTGATGTGCTTTGGAGATCACCCCTCCCCAGGTCATCCTGAACGACCTACCAGTGAGATAGGATTCAAACCAGCAAAGTTGAATCCCTGTGATGATGTGACTATTGATTGTTCTAGTTTTGTCTGTGAAGAATGTGTCAAAATCATCAGCTGTTATAGAAGTGGTGGGAGGTGCTGGAGGGGGACAGAGGAGAGAATCTCAACAAATTAGAATACTTCATAAGACCAATAAAAAAAAACATTTTTAGTGAATTGTTGCCCTTCTGGAAAGCATGTTCATTTACTGTACATGTACTCAATACTGACGGATCTTTTGATTTGCACCATTTTCTCTCTGCTGCCCTGAGTTTGGTCCGATGCTCACGGAGAACATCGGATAACCAGGGGTTAGAAGGGGCAGCCCGTGCTGGCCTGGAGGAGAGAGGACAAATATCGTCTAGACAAGAGGTTAAAGTAGAGCATAAAGTGTCAGTTGCTGCATTCACATCCAGAGATGAGAAATGAGTGGGTGAGGGAAGAGAGGAGAACACTACAGAGGAAAGATGGGAGGGGAAAAGGGAGCGCAGGTTTCGTTTAAAAGTAACCGGTATAGGGGTTGGTGGCACACATGTAGTAAAATGTAGTTTAAATGTAATGAAGAAATGGTCAGAGATATGAAGGGGTTTTACCCAAATTTTGTCTGCAATACAATTGCGTGTGTAAATTAAGTCAAGTTGGTTGCCTGATTTGTGCGTGCTTGTAGTGGTAAGTCATTTGAGATCAAATGAAGCAAGGAGTGAATGGAAGTCTGTAGCATAAGGCTTGTCCAGATGAATGTTGAAGTGGCCATAGACTAAAAGTGGACTGCCATCCTCCGGGAATGAGGAAAGCAGCCCATCCAGCTCCTCTAGGAAGGTGGCTAGAATTTGCCCAGGAGGCCGGTAAATTACCATAACCTGGAGTTTTATAGGAGCTGTTACATTAATCGCATGAGATTCAAATGAGTTATAGAAGTGTGTGCAGTAAAATTCGCACCTTTGGATGGAAACATAGCTTGTGTTGATCTGAGACACACATGTTCTGCTGTGTGTTTGGAACTAATTTGGAGGAAAAACACTCAATATTGATAATACAGTGTCTAAAATGTACATCACTTCATTTTAGCTTAAGCTTAGCTTATTTATTTATTTATTAATTATATACTATGGGATGAAGTATAAAATAGTGATAATTTTTTAATGGCTCAAGGCTGCGCTGGTACACAAACTCTCAGGTTACAGCAATATAGATCAGCTTATGACCAAACCTTTGCTGGACAGGCAGCATTACAATGAAACTGAACACTGTGGCTTGTTTTGAGCCTGCGTGACATATTTGTGTGTGCATGATCTAGTGTTGTGTTGGCTGGTAAAGGCTCTGGGCTGGTGAGTCAAACAGACACTGAGCCTGTAATAGGCTGTGTGTGTCGCTTTGGATAATCAGCATAAGTGGCTTCTCTCTCTTCCAGGCAGAGCTCCAGAGGTCTTGCTCTCAGCACAGCATACACAAAGGAGCAGAGGGCTGCCAGCTGCTGTGCTCCTGCAGTATGTACCCTCCTGTACCTCCTCCACCTCCTCCTCCTCCTCCACCGCGAGCACTGACCGCTGCGGGTAAGCCATCACTACACATCACTCCGAGTGGACTCTTCTCCAAAGGTCATTGAGATAAGATTTTGAGAAGCTATTCATATTACATACAGAACTCAACATGTATGTATCATATTCATACCTTATTCCTGGTGAACACTTACAGTGCTCTGTTAGTTCTGGTCAGTGACTAAATGCACAAGGCCCATTTACATTTTTCCACAGTTTCTATGCTTCCCATTTCTCCATATAATATGCTGAACGCTGTACTTCCACCTTAATGGAAACAAAGCTGAATCACAGTTTGAACAGTGGGTTAAGTTTCTGTGTCCACCACACTGGACGCCGGTGGGTTTGCTCGCCCTGGCACGGGAGAATGAGCTGCACATCTGCTAGATCCACTGTATACCAGTCAGCTGTTCTGTAATGAAATGCAGGCAGAGACCTAGATCTATATGGAGGTGATTTATTAAAAGAAACCAAAAGCACAAGGAGAAGGGAACAAAAACACGGGCAAACAGCATAACCGTTACGTTCAACAACTGACAAAGTAGCAAGTGAAACACAAGGGCTAGATATATACACAGGAGAACAGAGGGCTAACAAGCACCAGGTGAGACTGATTAGTTACCATGACAACTAACAAGGCACAAAGCTTGGGACTGAACACAGGAATCTACATGTGACAGAGTCCCCTTTATTTATATATGTGACAGTAGGTGCAAACTCATGAATTTACAGTAAAAGCATTCATATGGTTAGAATCTAACAAATAAAGTGAAGTGAAAGTGCACTCCTGTGCTTCTGGATCACGGGGACAGCAGTGAATGAGAGTCCGGCTTTCCCTCAGCTCTGAGTTCACCTGCATTACAAACTGTATAGCATTTTGTCAAAATTTTGTCAAGCATTGATTTGTTAAATCAATATTTTATAGATTTTGTGATAAACATTTTTTTAGAAATATTTTTTATTTAGTTTTGAAGTAGAAATCATTACATTAGGTATGCTGTGCATAATAAATACTTCAGTTTGAACTTATCCACACACAATGCTGATGTTTATTAAGGTGTTTAATGACGATGAATGGATGTGTGATCACTCTTTCAGCTCCGGAGGCTTCTGCTCCTCTGCCAAGGCCCTGGTGGATGGAGATCATCGTGCTTGGGATGATAGGAAGTGCTTTGGCTGTCTTTCTTCTGCTAACAGTCATTATCTGCTACAAGGCCATAAGGAGGTATGTAACGCTGTCACAGAGTTAGTGCAATTCTGCAGGGGTGGATGAAGGTTGTGGCTTCAGTGCTGTTAGTACAAGATGGCGGCGCGGTCGGACGCAGCGGCTACTCCGGGTCCCAAAAACGGTGTTTTTATGTCTGTTAGTCTCGTTTCCTCGTCTTCAAACAGTCTCATCTTATCGGATGTTTCTCTTTGCACATGTACAGTATTATGTGAAGCATCCGTATAGTCTGTATTTTATTTTATTTTATTATTATTATTTTTCTTTTCTTTTTTTTTAATTTTTTTTATGCATAGGTAAACATTTATATATAGTATATTCATAGTCAAAATCTGTCAGTAGGTTAGCTGTGTATAGGTACAGTGTTTATGTGAAGCATCCGTATAGTCTGTATTTTATTTTATTTTATTATTATTATTATTATTTATTTTTTTTAATTTTTTTTATGCATAGGTAAACATTTATATATATATATATAGTATATTTATAATCAAAATCAGTCAGTAGGTTAGTTGTGTATAGGTTTTTACTGCTTTACTGTATAGGTTTTTACTGTTTTACTTCATTGTTGTATGCCTGTATTTATGTAACACCGTGGTCCTGTGAGGCACGACATTTCGTTCCACTGTATGTCCCCACATGCAGCAGAATGACAATAAAGCTCAACTTGACTTGACTTTAACTTAGTACAAGTGTGGTTTTGCCACGCTGTGACATAAATGAAAGGCTGCTGTATCACATGTGGCACCATATTATGTCGTGAGATTTGGTCACACGTCACTTGTGAATATGAATGTCGTATGACTTTTATTTTGGGTCACTAGCTAAGGAATTTCATCTTAACAGTAAGGAACAATCAGGCAGGATTGTTGACCAAATAAAAGTTATGCAAATTGGAGGGAGTTTGTGAGCCGACCAATCTGAAAGATTTGTGAGATATTGATAAAATGACTTTAGAAAGATGACAGCATCATCATTTTATTATTATGCAGATTGGTAGATTTGTTAGTGAAGTTAGTTGACTTTAGCAGTCCTTGTTGCATTTTATGCCAATGATGTGCATAAAGTAGTGTTCTAAAACCCAAGAAATATCAAAGATGTCTTAATATCCTTTTAGATTCTGGTTCCTAACAAACTTGTCTTTTGGTTTCCTCATTTTAAGGCTCTCTGTGGTTCAATCCCACAGACACTGGGATCTCAGTGCAGCTCTGAGTGAATATTCAGTGGTCAAAAAACAAATGTAGATTATTTTGCTTATTGTATTGAAAAAGGAATATCTGAAGAACAGTTATTGTTATAACTAGACATATTTATTCAAATTGCATTGAACACACCTGTCTGAGTACCAAAAAATACACTGAAACGTTCAAGTTCAGGCACCTTTACTTGCTCTCATTAGTGTGTTCATAAGAGTCTATATTTTCAGGGATATTTGGAAGAAGCAGTTTTGTTCATTTTAACTGTTCCTGAAGCTAATGATTCAAATATGCAGTAGTGTAATTACATGTTTGAGTAAGGCAAGATTTGCCTCGCCTGGATTTTTTAAGTATTAAAATTTCCTCTTGTTATGAAATGTAATGCGTAGTCTTAGATCAAGCAGTATCAGAGCCAGCCCAAGGCATAAGTGAACTAAGCTGCTTAGGGTCCCCAACAGTACATGAGATGGCTTGATTCATTTTATTTTTATTTTTTTATTTTTATTATAATTTTTTTTGTGATATGTTATGTCAGTGGACAATGGTAATGATACAGAAACGCAATATTAATTAATTAAATGATCTCTATATATATATATATATGTGTCATTATTTCCATAGCGACGCGTCATGCAGGCACAATAGCACTGTATGACAGATGTATAGCTTTTATTTAGCTTTTCCTTTTTATTGAAAATATCCACAATCTTGTTAACTATATCATGAACTATATGATACAACCTATTCTGGCACAAATCAGATCTGAGGGGGCAATGGCACCGGGCCTGGCTGGCTAGTTAATTAGCATAGCCTAGGTATCTTCTTGTTTTAGGGAAGCTCATGTTTGATTAAACATCTGTAAATAGCCTTGACATCTTAATATATTATCATATTTTACTTAGCTAGTTTTACATTCAAGTTTTGAATCTTCTGTGTAAAAATAACTTGTATATATTTTTGTAATAAAAAAAAAAATAATAAAATACTTTTCAGTACACCACATTAAGTATGCCACTTAGTACTGTAAGACTTTGAATGTTAAAATGCAAATTAACACCTGACCACTCTTGTGGGTTTGCTACTGTTACAATTAAAAATCGTAAAACATGCCAGGCAGACATTGGTATGATGTAAGCAACACCGCTACAACAAATAAAACTGATAATGGGTGTGATAAACTTATAGTGTGCGAATAATCAAGCATTGACAATAATCAATCATATAAAATTCTGCTTAGGGCCCCATAAAGGCTTGGGCCAGCCCTGAGTAGTATCCACTGCTAATATGCGCATTTAATGCTATCACTGATAGTACATCAAACTTTGAAGCATTTAGGTCTCTCACACACTCTTCATTTATGTATTTCTTTCACCAGAAAAAAAAAAAAAATGAAATCAAAATGTTTAGCTGGGGACTTAAAAATGACTGAAACCCTTTGATCTACATGAACATAAATATTGCTGCAAATAAAAACAATAAACTAAAAAATGTGCATCTACCGCAGTTTTAAGTAGAATCTGACTTGATTCAAGCATCATTACAACACGAGCGTCCTTTCGGTGTCCTCCAGCAGACTTCAAACACGGGCGGCACTGCACTCCAACAGCTTTGATATCAAAAATATATTAACTCTGTGAGGTGTTGTGTCGCCACCTGCCACATGTCAACTGCTGACATCTATTATTGAGGAAGCTGGGTGCTACCAAAACCGTGGGCTGTCCAAAGCTGATTGGAAGACCAGTGTAATGTGACTGATTCAGGAGCAATGTTAAAACCAGTGTGAAGCCACGCAGGTCTGATCATCAAGCAGTACAAATTATTATATTATTTTTTCATTGTATTTTTATTATTATCCCTAAAAAATACCAAACTCCTAATTCGTTTTTTGAAGGAAAGGTCAAGAATAATCTTGCACATGACTTCATAGGATGATGTGTTTTGATTTTGCTAGGAAATGCCTTTTCCTGAGTCATTCACAAGCTGTACATGCAGGTGTTGATCTTTCTTCCGTCGCTGGCAGGCGATAGGCTGCGTTCAGTGGATTGTAGGTGCTCTGTGTTCGCATCAGTGCCGCTCGCGCAAGCTAAACCTGAGTGAAGAATCAAACAGCTTCAGCTGATCAATAATCCCAGCAGTGAAATCATCTCAGCAGCCATCTGCTCCAGCACACTGGGACACGAGCATATGCTGTGTGCCTCCTAATCATGGGGAGTTGAAACAAACTTTGTTCATGGGCTTCTATTCTAAAGATTTTAAGTTATAATTGACATCAATGTTTAAGGGAAAGTGTATACCTTCACTGTGGTGTGATAAATTTGAAAAGCACAAATATTTCATTTATCTCTCAATTAAAGGGATAGTTCATTTAATCACTCCCAGGTCATCGAAAAGGCATAGGCGACTTTTTTTCTTCAATAGAACATTAAAGATGATTTTTAGCTGAAACTGTGGTCCTTGGTGATTCATAAAAAGTCAATGGCTATCCTCACTCTTACGAGTCAAAAAAAGCACACCATGCAACACAGAATTAATCCCTGTGGCTCCTGATGATATAGTGAGGTCTTATGAAGTGAAACAATCGGTCTGTGCAAGAAACTGAACATTATGTACAGCATTATTACCTGTAATCCAGAACCTCTAGAGTGAACGAATCATTCTTTTGAACCGGTTCTTTTTAGGGAACTAGTTGAACTGTTCACTGAATCAGTATGAATCGTCTGAATCGGTTCGTGTCTCGAACAGCACAGATCTACAAGTTGCTCAATCAAAACTCACTTTCAGACGCATGACAGTCACTGCGACTGGAAATGAGCTGAAATAGCGGTGTATCCTCAAAATAGGCATTTTCAAAATGATATAATAAATGATCTGTGGGGTATTTTGAGCTGAAACTTCACAGACACAATCTGGGGACACCAGAGAAGGTCCCCCAAAGGTCCCTTTGTAAAAAGGGACATAATATGTCTCCTTTAAGAAAGGCCACATGCAGTCACAGCTGAGCTTTGCCAAAACGCACCGTGAAGATTCTGAGGCAGATGAGACTAAAATGTAATTATTTAGCCTCGACACCAAACAAAATGTGTGGTGGAAATCCAATACAGCTCAAAACACCATTCCTACAGTAAAGCACGGAGGTGGTAATATCCTGTTATGCGGGTGTTTCTCTGCAGCAGGGACTGGAGCACTTGTCAAGATAGAAGGAAAAATGGATGGTGCAAAATACTGTCAAATTCTTGAGGAAAATCTGCTGCCCTCTGCCAGAAAGCTGTCAATGGGAATAAGGTTTACTTTCCAACATGACAATGACCCAAAGCACACAGCAGAACTGACACACATTGGTTGAAGGAGAAAAAGCTGAATGTCTTGCATGGCCTCGTCAGAGCCCGGACTGAAACCCCACTGAAAATCTGTGCAATGACTAGAAGACTGCAGTCCACAAACAGTCACCATCAAACTGAACTGAACTTGAGCAGTTCTGCAAAGAAGAGCGGGCAAATATTGCAAAGTCTAGATGTGCAAAG